TTTGTAGTGAGGGTTCAATACGGTAACTATATGAAACATGGAGCGTAGCACATAGTGGGTAGAAAAGATGGAGTGAGCTTGGGTCCAAGGTGAGCCGAAAGGGCTTGGGGACAGTTGCTGAGAACAATTATGGTTTATGACTGGTTCCTAGGTGCTAGACAGGGTTTCTTAGCAGAGGTTACATGGCTAGGGGAAGAATGACAATGCAGTAAAAATGGTTCATTCGTTTATTCATTTTCCACCAATTACTTTATTGAGAATCTACTAAGTGTCACATGTGGTTTTAGCCACTGGGGATACAGCCCTCACAGATCTACTAATCCAGAGTGGGAGAGACCCAACGGACCTGGTGCTTTCAATACAGGAGCTCCTTCACCCGTGAGCAAGTTAGGTCCTGAAAAGACTGTAGTTTGCAAGTCCAACGGGACGAAGAGGAATTTGTGGCCATAGAGTCGCTGGAGGCATTTCCACCAAAAAGAAATGTCAACTGGTTCTAATCTCCAAAGCTTTAAAACCATCCTTCTTTTTTTTTTTGGCTGTGCCACGCTTCTTGCGGGATCTTAGTTCCCTGACCAGGGATTGAACCCCGGCCCACAGCAGTGAAAGCACCGAGTCCTAACCACTGGACCACCAGGGAATTCCCTAAAACCCTCCTCCTTGATGATATTTGTTTTATAGGACATCTTTCCCCAAAGGAGATAGTGTTGTTTGCGGTGGAAATCTGTTGAGCAGTGAGTGACATGAACTCATTAGTGACTCCACATAATTTCTGGAATAACGTTGCATTTCTGCAGGAAGAGATAAAAAAGATGGGTGGAGTATAAACCTTAATGTTAAAAGTGATTATCTCTTAAAAGTGAAGCAATTAAATCCTTTTTTTTTGACCTTATCTCGATTTCACAATTTACTTTCCTGAAATGAACATGTATTGCTTTCGTAATTTAGACCGATTTATTGAATCACAAGCCACAGATGACTCTAGTGGTCCAAAGGCTGTTCTGATCTGAACCACATTGGGGGAGAGGTGAGGGTGAGAATCTTGAGACAGAAGGGCCGGGACAGGCCATCCTTGAGGAGCTGTGAGGAAAAGTCAGAAGGGCAGAGAGGATTGGAGTGAACAGAAACCATGGGGCAGATAAAATCGTGGAGTGGAGGATGAGGCAGCTGCTGTCAGGGCGGGTCTGGATTTTGTGAGGTCTTCTTTTAGTTTTTGATTGCTACAATAATGCCGCAATGGACTGTCCCAAACTCAGTGGCATGCAATAAGTTTGTGAATTGGCAGTTTAATCTGGGTGGTCCTTCTGGCCTCAGGTGGGTTCCCTTGCGCGTCTGGGGGTCAGCTGGCTGTTGGCTAGGGCCGCCAGGCTCCGTTCCACCTTTCTCTCAATCCAGCCACTGGTTAGCCTGGCGTGTTCTCATGGCAGAAGCAGAAGAGCATGAGAATAAGAGAAAGTGCAGGAGGCCTCTGCAGGCTGGGGTTTGGAAATGGTGCAGCATCACTTCTTTCTTTCTTTCTTCCTTCCTTCCTTCCTTCCTTCCTTCCTTCCTTCCTTCCTTTCTTCCTTCCTTCCTTCCTTCCTTCCTTCCTTCCTTCCTTCCTTCCTTCCTTTCTTTCTTTCTTTCTTTCTTTCTTTCTTTCTTTCTTTCTTTCTTTCTTTCTTTCTCTCTTTCTTTTTTTGGCTGCGTTGGGTCTTCGTTGCTTCCCCATAGAGAGGACCGTTCTTCAGTCAAGGGTATAAGAGTAGCTGTGATCTCCTGCAAGAACCTCCAAACAAGCTCTCAAGAAGTACATTTTTCTTTTCTTTTTAATATTTATTTATTTATTTATTGTTGGCTGCGTTGGGTCTTCGTTGCTGCACACGGGCTTTCTCTAGTTGCGGCCAGCGGGGGCTACTCTTCCTTGCGGTGCGCGGGTTTCTCATTGCGGTGGCTTCTCTTGTTGCAGAGCATGGGATCTAGGTGCGTGGGCTTCAGTAGTTGTGGCTCATGGGCTCCAGTAGTTGTGGCACGCGGGCTCTAGAGTGCAGGCTCAGTAGTTGTGGCGCAGGGGCTTAGTTGCCCTGCGGCATGTGGGATCTTCACGGACCAGGGATCGAACCCGTGTCCCCTGCATTGGCAGGTGGATTCTTAACACTGCACCACCAGGGGAGTCCCAGCATCACTTTTGCTGCGTTTTCTTGGGCAAAGTGGATCCTAAGTCTGGTCCAGACTCGAGTGGAGGGGGGAGAGACTCTGCCTCTTTGTGAGAAGGGCTAGGGAGTCAAAGGGTAGATATCCAGGGTGGGACCATCTATCACAGGCCTGAAGCTTATACAATGTTGGGGGTCCTTTTTAAGGAAAAAAGGATCCCCAAATTATGAACACAAAATTTGATATAGGGGTCTGGTCAAGTGAGGGGTGCTGACACCATCGATTCGTGGCAAATGGACCTCTTCCTCACTTTCACAAAGAAACGAGAATCTAGCCACCCCAGTGAGCAGAGCTGAGAAGGGGAGCACAGCAGAGCCACTGCCATGCTGGTGGCAGAGCCCAGAGTGAGGCTCCTTCAGCTCAGGGGTGCCTGGATTCTGGACACCCATCTGCTCTGGTCCCGGTGAAGTCTGGCTGTTTCTTGTTGTTCCTCCATGGAGAGGCTTAGTTCCTTGGTTTTCTTCAGTTCCACCTGGTTTAGACTTTGGTTTTGTAATTCTCCAGTGGGTCTTGGAACAGACATCTCGTGGGCCTTCTATTCCAGAGTGGGAGAGACTCAACAAAACCGGCCCTTTCGATACAGGAGCTCCTCCCCCTGAGAACAGATTGGGTTCTGAAATGATTGTGGTTTGTAAGTCCAATATGACCTAGAGAGGTAGCTTGAGCAAGCTACTTGCTCCTTGTCACCAGGAGAACCTGATGATTGCATCAACACACACACAAAACACACACACTACATATGTACATACACAGCACTAGCACGCACAATGCATCACACACTTGTAACACAGCTCCCACACATGGGCCCACATACAAACAGGGACACACCACATGTGCTCATACATGCATGCGCATGTGTGCACACATACACATATTCATGCACACACACACAGGTGCCTCGGGGCAGGGGAATCTCAGACGACCCGTTCAATTCCTTCCTTCGCAGATGGGGACATTGGAGGCCATTGAAGGTAACTGCTCATGCAGACGTCAATGGCCAAGCCAGGATGAGGGCCTCAAATGGGTCTTTGAGGACATAGGGCCCCCAGAATAGCCTGACGCTCCCCTAGTGCCCAGAGGCATTTGTTTAGAGGAACAGACTTGCTATCACTTAGAGATGCTCAGAGAATTCTCTTTTCTTGATTCAAAGGAGAATTTCTGTTCTTGATCCAGAAGGGCCCAGGAGCAGAGGGTCAGGCCACAGGCAGAGTTTTGGGGTAGTTCAGAGGCTGTTTACTCCTACTGCCTGCTCTCAAGAAAGGAAGGATTACCCTACATCCCTCAAAGCACCTGTCCCTTATTTTTCAGGGTGCTCCAAATTGCTTAATTCCTTGGTCATTTCCCCTGGAAGCCAAATGGTGTTCCTGTTTGCTGGAGCCCAATGTCTCTTGGCATAGCTGTTCAGTGCCACAGGCCAAGGATGGCTTTGCTGAGCAGCGGGGACCAAGGGCTGACCGAGCTCTCACCCTGTATTGTTGACCTTATTTTACGGTCTGGAGGTATGCAAAGTGAGAGGCCAATTCTGGCCACATCCTGGCTTATTAGCTGCTGTGTTTTTCTGTGCAGATAACCCCCCTGATGCCTACTCACTCCTGATGAGCCTGTGAGGGCTTATATCTCTCCTTGGGATTCACTTGCTCCTCAAGATGTCACAAGGTATGTGTGACACACAGCAAAAGTGGCCCTAGGAACAAAATATGAGAAACGTCCAATCCTTTCCTAATTTCTGTGCTTAACCCCAGGTCTTGCTGGGATTCTGATGGGGGAGAGGGGTGGGAGATGGGCACAAAATTGTCAAAACAGAAAGGGAGTCAGACAGGCGAAGCTGGTGCATCCTTTCTTCCCACTGCAACAGATAGTTATTACAATGTGTGTGTCAGGGGGTGAGAGGAGCTGGGGGTAATAGCCACGAACAATGAGCTGATTTCTTCAGGAAGGTGTGATTGACAAGTTTCTGGAGGATTCAGGCTGGAATCGATATCCATGGATTCTCACCTTGTAAGCTGGGGCACAGCAGCAAGAGTTCCTGGTATGTTCTCAGGACAGAGGCCCCTCTTGCCCATTGGACCAGTAGTTCCCTGCTCACTTGTCCCTACTCTGTTTTTTTTAGTTCTCCGACCAGGGATCGAACCCGTGCCCACTATAGTGGAAAAAGTGCGGAGCCGTAACCACTGGACCCCCAGGGAATACCCGTGTCCCTACTCTTTGAGCCCCTTTCTTTTAGTGGGTAGTCTGGGTTTTGTTACCCCCTCACCCCCTCATTCCAATCTCTGGTCTACATTGGAATCTACAATCTCTTCTCTGACTTTGGCTCAAGCGCCCCCCATGATACAGTGGAACTCCTGACCTTCCCGGCTCCCGAGAATTTGGCTACGCTTGAAATTCCACATTTAGGACATTGTGTGCATCAGCCTTAGCTCCCCACCACTTCTCCAGTGGGGCTGGTTCTCGCCCATCCCAGTCTTCCCACCAATGGAGAAGAATTGAGTAAGAGCTGCTCAGAGCTGGTGGGTCTGCAAACTTCAAGGCCAAGAAGGAGCAAAGTTCTCCTTTCAGAGAACCCATCATGGCTCCGGACAGGGAGGTGTTTCTCAAAAGCTTATTTATGATCACTTCTTGCATTGCCAGCTGCCTTGAAATTTCACCCATTCCGCCTCCTTCCTCTTTGAGTCTCATTCGCCAGTGGGAAGGGCCTGAAGGAGGAAGTATAAGAGTGAGAATAAGTGAAAGCAGAAGGGCTGGAAGACGAAGCAGACTGTAGCTGGTTCTCGCTGACACGCTCCACCGAGGAGGACCCGTGTGAGGAGAAAATGCGCCTGCTGCTGCTGTTCTACCTCCTCCGCCGGCTTGCAGGTGAGCTGGGCCTGGGTCTGTTCTCTCGGGAAAAGCCTATGGGGCAGGAGGAAGTGGCTGGCAGAGAGAGGAGGGAGCCCAGCAAGGTGTCCTGCTGAGAAACCAACCCCTTTTCTAGGTAGCTCCTCCCAGTCGTGAGCCTGTGTGTTTCATCCACTCAATCCCTCACCCTGTGTTGCGGTGCCCACAACGGCCGATGCAGAAATATGGAGCGTGGTCTTCGTGATGAACCCAGAACCAGGCATAACTCCTGACCACCCAGGGGCTGGTCCTTCAAAATGGACAGACTGATGGCCCCCACTGGTCACAGAAAAGCAGAGGCACCCTAGTTGCTCAGGAGAGCTGGCGAATATTCGCTCCTGCACTGTCACCTTCCAGAAAGCTTTATGAGCAAGGGAGGGCTCTGGGGAAGGGGTGAGGGTGAAGGGGGCCTGGAAGGAAGGGAAGCGGGAGTTTGCCAGATGGAGGGGGACAGGCAGTTCTAAGCTTTTGGGGAAGGAAATAGTAGAATGGAAAGGTCGAGGGGAGGTTAGCTTGGTAGAATGAAGAGGAAAAGGGGACACAGGGATGTGAGCAGAGACAGAGGGCTGAAGGCAACATGAGGTTGGTGGATACCATTTTTCTTTTGGCCACGCCGTGTGGCATGTGGGATCTTAGTTCCCCGACCAGGGATCGAACCCGCACCCCCTGCAATTGGAAGCTTGGAGTCTTAACCACTGGACCGCCAGGGAAGTCTCATGGATACCATTTTGATTAAAAGTCAAGGGGGGGCTTCCCTGGTGGCGCAGTGGTTGAGAGTCCGCCTGCCGATGCAGGCGACACGGGTTCGTGCCCCGGTCCGGGAGGATCCCACATGCCACGGAGCGCCTGGGCCCGTGAGCCATGGCCCCTGAGGCTACGCATCCGGAGCCTGTGCTCCGCAACGGGAGAGGCCACAACAGTGAGAGGCCCGCATACCGCAAAAAAAAAAAAAAAAAAAAAAAAAAAAAAAAAAAAAAAAAAAGAACAAACAAAAAACTGGTATGCAAATATTCAGGGCAACATAGTCCATAATAGCTAAAAAGTGGAAACAATCTAAATGCACATCAACTGATGGATGGATAAATAAAACATGGCATACTCATACCATGGTATACTACTAGTCATAAAAAAGGAATGAGGTACTGACACTTGCTACAACCTGGATTAAGCTCAGTGAAAGAATCCAGACACAAAAGGCTGTACTTTGTATGATTCCATTCATATGAAAAGTCTAGAATATGTAAATCCATAGAGACCAAAAGTAGATTAGTGGTTGCCAGGGACTGGGGGAGGGAGTAAGGGGAAGGGACGCCTAATGAGTATGGGGTTTCTTTTTTGAGATGATGACAGTGTTCTGGAATTAGTGATGATGTTTGCACAGCTTTGTGAATATCTTACAAAACCACTGAGCTGTACACTTTAAAAGGGTGAATTACATGGTATGTGAATTATATCTTCATAAGAAAATAATTAAGGAGACGAGAGAAGAATTGGAGCAGTCGTGTTCTCCTGAGAAAAGTTTCTGTGGTTGCATTTGGATCTGAGTCTCCAGAGGGCATGACAACCGGACATCCCTTTGTGACCCATGACTCTTTTACGTGGTCTGATTGGATCATTCATTCCATCAGGCATAAAAATGAAAATGATGCTTCCAAGCAGTGACACGTGCTGTGAACAGAGCTGAGCTAGGTGCCCTGACTCAGGGGGTGGTGGCTGTGCTTTCGATAGGGTGGGTTTAGAAGGAGCCCTCTGAGGAGGAGCTTTCTGAGCTGAGACCTGGAAGACGAGAAGGAACAGGCACTTGAGATCAGGGACGCCTTTTCAGGCACAGGGCACAGCAAGGCTCTGATGTGGAAATGAGCTTGGCCGTGGTACGTTTGCGTGGTACGTTTGAGGAACAGAAAGGCCTTGTGGCTTCCTTACACACTTCACAACAGCCTGCTGGGGTCGATTGGGAGGATACTATTATCTCTTTGGGGAAAAGGTCTCTGGGGAGGCTTGTGGCTGCAGGTGGCTCCACAAGGAGCCACGCGCGCACGTATGTGTATATGCTTTAGGAGTGATTGAGGCAGAGCGGGAATATCTGTCTGAAGTGGGACAGGCTCAGCTGTGCACTAACAGGAAGCCAGTCTCCAGTGGGAACCTCTGTGCCACCTGTCACCAGCCTTTCCCATAGAATTTCCGATTTTGCAAGTAACACATTTAACCAGCATTACTTCCCTCTTCGCAAGGGTTCATTGTTTTAAAAGTACACAAGAAAATACTAGCCCACTGGGCTTTATAGCATTCATTTTCTGTGAGAAAAGAGTCTTAACGACCCTATTTTTTTCAGAGAAAAATTAGCTGTCTTGTCCAACTTAAGCCTCACCGTAAGTGGTGGCAGAGGTGGACAAGACCCCGGACGTGCTGACCCAGAGTGGAAATTAGCTGATGTCCCCTGCTGAGCCAGAGACGGGGTCCAGTCTCAACTGTCACTCACTGACCGGGAGCCACTCACCTCCCCCTGGGGCTCAGCTTCCACCTGATCTAGGATTATTCCTGATCATCTAGGCTGTGAGTAACCATGCCCAGGGAGGATGCTGCTTCTTGGAGCTCCAGGCTGCCTCTGTGCCAGGAGGGTCCCCACAGCACAGCCAGTACTCTGCTCAGGTTGATGGGGAGTGGGGACCTGGAAGAGGGGTCCGAGAAGTGAGTGGAGCAGATGGTCCAAGGGTCAGATCTGATACTAAATGCTCAGTCGAGTTCAAGGGTCAGATCTGATGCTAAATGACAACTAAAGATGGAATGGCCATCCGCGTTAGAATCCTAGGGTTGCTGGGACAAATGACCACAAACTTAGTGGCTTAGAACAGCACAAATTTATAATGTTACAGTCTAGAGATAAGAAGTCTAAAATGAGTCAACAGGGCAGCGTTCCTTCTGGTGGCTCTAGGAGGAGAATTTGATTCTTCGACTTCCAGAGGCTTTCCAGAGGCTGCCTGCCACACCCTGTGGCGTGCGGAACATCCCCGACCACCAGGGGTCAAGCCTGCGGCCCCTGAAGTGAGAGCGCGGAGTCTTAACCACTGGACCGCCAGGGAAGTCCAGAGGCTGCCTGCTTTCCTTGGCCTGTGATCCCACATCACTTCAGCCCCCGTTCCATTGTCATCACTCCTTCCCTGACTCAGACCGTCCCGCCTCCCTCGGTTAAGGACCTTTCTGATTATACTGGGCCACCGGGATAACCCAGGATAATCTCTCCATCTCAAGATCCCTAATTTAATGACATCTGCAAAGTCCCTTTTTGCCATGTAAGGGTGAACATATTCACAGATTCTGGGGGTTAGGACACAGACATCCTTAGGGGCCATTGCTCTGCCTACCACACTATTAAACAGCCCTGTCCAGGCATTTGTTTTTCCTACGATTTTGAAAGTAGTAAATGCTCATTGTTGATACTTGGGAAAGTACAGGAAAAAATGAAGAATTAGGAAAAATAAAAGAACCTTATGTCTGGGGCTTCCCTGGTGGCGCAGTGGTTGAGAATCTGCCTGCCAATGAAGGGGACACGGGTTCGAGCCCTGGTCTGGGAAGATCCCACATGCCGCGGAGCAACTAGGCCCGTGAGCCACAACTACTGAGCCTGCGCGTCAGGAACCTGTGCTCCGCAACAAGAGAGGCTGCGGCAGTGAGAGGCCCGCGCACCGCGATGAAGAGTGGCCCTCACTCGCTGCGACTGGAGAAAGCCCTCGCACAGAAACGAAGACCCAACACAGCCAAAAATAAATAAATCAAAACCAAAACAAAAACAAAAACAAAAAAAACCCCTTATGTCTGTCTTAATGCCCGAGGTGACCAGTTGTTAAGATTTTGGTTTATGTTTAATCTTTGTTTTCTATGCATATTTAAAAAGTTCATTGGTATTATACTGCATATGATTTTTTAACACACTTATTTTCACTTCATATGAGAATTTTCCACATAATTAAAAATATTTCTAAGCATAATTAGCAGTGTTTGCATTATATTTCATTATATACTTATTTCCCTAATTGGTGGAAGTTAACTTTGTTTCCTTTATTTTTGTTAATTATGTGATGAATCTTTGTGCACACCGTTTTTGTTAGCCTCTCTGATTATTTCCTGAGAACCAAATCCTAGATGTAGCATTACTGGAGCAAAGGGCATGACTATGTTTGATACATATGAATGCCATATGGCTTTCTGTATGGCTGAACCAGCTACATTCCTTCCAGCATATTCTCACAGTGCCTGGACCACCTGGCCCCCGTCAGCAAAAAGTGAGTCATCAAAACTTGATTGGTTTGTTATGTGAAAAATGGTGTTGTCTTCCACATTCCTTTTTTTTTTTTTTTGCGGTATGCGGGCCTCTCACTGTTGTGGCCTCTCCCGTTGCGGAGCACAGGCTCCAGATGCGCAGGCTCAGTGGCCATGGCTCACGGGCCCAGCAGTTCCGCGGCATGTGGGATCTTCCCGGACCGGGGCACGAACCCGTGTCCCTTGCATCGGCAGGCGGACTCTCAACCACTGCGCCACCGGGGAAGCCCCACATTTCTTATTTGCTAGATTATTTAAATGAAACATTTGAATTTTATTAGCCGCTGAATTTCCTCTTTGTGACTTGCCTCTTACCTCTCATCAGTTTTCCAAATGGGGTATTAATGTTTTTCTTCTATAAACTCTTAATCGAGAGAAACTCTATTAATCCTTTTCTACGTTATTTGTTCTAAATATTTCTCTCAGTCTGTTCTTTGCCTTTTCAGTCTTTTTTTATTGGTATGTCCAAGTGCTATATTTGCATGCAGTCAAATTCACTACTAACTCTTTCTTGTTTCCTGTCGTCCATTGATTTCAAGTTTCGAAAGATCTCCCTGTCATCCAGGAATTTTATAGAGATTCACTTCTGTTTTCTTTCAGTTTAAAAATGCTTTGCTATTTTTTATGCTGACCTCCTTAATCTCTCTATATTTACCTAAATGGAGCACACTGAGAGGTGACAGGATAGGGTTATGCCTTAACCCTTCCCTTCTCTGTTTATCGTTTTAGTCTTCTATGGTATGTGTGAAATTCTTAAATAGACTAGGTCTGTTTTTAGGCTATTGACTGTGTCCTATTGATATGTGTATATAGTCTTGTTATATTCACAAACTGGTTTCTTTATTATGGCCTGCTACTATTTTATTATTTTTAATTTATTTTAAAAATATTTATTTATTTTTGGCTGCATTGGGTCTTTGTTGCTGCACATGGGCTTTTCTCTAGTTGTGGAGAGCAGGGGTTACTCTTTGTTGTGGTGTGCAGGCTTCTTACTGTGGTGGCTT